GCTGAAGTCGAAGGACGGGAGTGTCTCACATCACGAGAACTCTGGGCGTGGGCCGGTTTGGAGGAGAGTGGCAAGGACGTCAAGGCCAAGAGCACCGAGGGCAAGCAGGCAGCGGAGGCCCTTGCAAAGACGTTATGCGACTGTGTGCGGCTTCTCCCGTCCTTCGTACCGCGCCATGGAAGGAGCCAAAGGAGAAGCCTCAGAAGACAGGCGGATGCAGCCTCGTTCACCACTTGTTGGCGGCACATGCTACTGATCACAGGCCATTTCCGCTTGCTTTGCGCCGGGATTGTTTGGCTCTCGATAGCTGAGCTTCCTCCATTCTTCCACACCTCTTTACATTCGGTCGATCTGTTAACTTTCCTAAGGTCTCGAGCCTGCTGTGCCTCATTGCTGTGATGTTCGCGGTGCCCTTCGCATCGATTCAGGAAGCAAGTACTTTGCTCACTAGCTCTCAGCTAGGAGATGTGCGCAGCATGGTCGCTGGTTATGGTGGCACGTTGTAAAGTTTGTAAGGGCCTTGAAAGGACCTGGCTCTGCATGGTCTCAGCGCCCTGCATTTGATGAAGGCAGGGCGGAAAGAAGGCAGAAGGATGGTCTTTGTCGTCGGAAGTGGGCATAGCGTCTGCAGGGGTTGGGCGCAGGTGCCTTGCCTCGTGGTAGTGGCTCTTGGGGCCTTGGCTAGCTCGACTTGGCCACAGCCCCGAGCGAAGTTCAACGAGAGCCTCCCAGTGCCAGCATGTCTGAGGTTTGCTGTGAAGCAGGTGAAGAAGTATCGCGCCAAGAAGGACCGGCAATTCATTGACGGCACCGCAAATTCACTTCCGTTTTTGTTTGCATGGCTGGGAGGCCGTTTGAGTGACGCCCGTGGTGTTGATGCGCTCCAGCAAACACTGGGGAGAATGCATTCGTGGCCTGTTTGAGGATGCTTGTCTCAACTTGACCTGTGTTCTCAATGCTGGCTTTTGGGTTGCTTCTGATTTCTTGCCAGGTACTACTAGCCTCCGTCTTGTGCATAGCAGCGTGCCGGAATGATGAGACTTGGGGTGGGGCACTGAAGTTTCTCCAGTTTTCAGCTTTCGGCGGACAGTGGCACCTAGTAGTGCCGCATGATGTTGCCTCGCAGCAGGTGCAGAACATTGCGGTACTCTCATTCCAGGTGACGATGGAGAGCAGTAATTCATGCATTGCACATGGAGACCGGCAGCTCCCACGTCTCGCTGAGACGTAGACGCAAATCAAGCAGAATACAGCAATCGAACACCACATATATGCACGGGTCGACCACGCTCCTCACCACGATGATGCAAATTCGGCAGCCTCTCCAGTGTGTGGCCGCAGCTACCAGCGCCACTGAGTTTCTTTTCTTGGCTCCTTGGCGCCTTGCACATGGCGTTGGAGTGCTTCTTGAACTCCTGGCGTTGCTGGGGCACAAGCCCCGCAACTCAAACGGCGCACGACTTCTTACAAACATGCCCGCACGCTGCCAGTCTCTGAGTCCTGCTGCTCTTTTGCGGTGCTCTGCTGCTGCTATCCACAGGCCGCCCCAATCTCTTGTGGCCGCTTGCATGGCTCGGAAATGGCTTGTACTGCACCCCGCTCCCCTTGCAACCCCTTCACGGCAAGATCTTGGAAGGCTCAGAGCAATCCTCTCCAGTCGCACGGAGCACAGAGCAGCCGAGCAGCACTGAAATCAAATGGTCAGGTCAGATGGGAGCCGCCAGCGCGGAGACGCCAGTGCTCCTGACTGCCCTCTGATCTCTTCGTTTCCCATCTTCCAATGCGCAGCCCTTTTTTCAATGATCCGCACCTTTAACAGAATGTGTGTATTTCATGCAGGAAGGACGAAGGGGGGCTTGCCTACCGGATGGTAGGAGTCCTGCCTGACGGCTTCTCTGGGGTGCATAGAAATGTGATCCCACTGGCAGTGTTCAGCGGGTAGTTTCTCAGTTTCTCAGATAGCCACAGACCAGGTGGGGGATGAAAAAAACGTGGGCTGCTTGCTAGAAACTAGATTCCACGGCGACATCACAAGTTTACACGAAGTCGAACTCGCCAGGTGGCCTATTCCCTACCCCTGCGGAATCTCTCCATGGCACGAGCCAGGACCTCGCTGGCCGAATGGCTCAGAGAGAGGAGAAAGCCGAAGAGAGCAGCGGAGCAGCCTTGAGGTGAGCAGCTCCTGGAAGATCTCCTATGCTGCTCCGAAGCAGGAGCGAGATTAGCTGCTTTGTCCGTGAACCCTCGCCTTCCCATTCCCCCTCCTCCGAGAGGCCTATGAGAAGCACATGTTCTGCCGGCCACGACTCTACGAGCCAAGAGGCGAACAGGAGCCGACACACGCGAAATCTGGAGGCAGGAATCTTGCCGAGGTTCTGTTCCGGATGAGATCTGGGAGGCGATCTGGCCTTGGGCAGGGCGCTCACATCTGCGGAGGAATCGCCGGTTGTAAACCCTCGACGCTCCGCCTGTTCACGAAACTCCCGGCGAACACCCTATTTCTTAAAAATTGTGGAGCCACCCGTTTGTGTCTCTTTAAGGTCCCGGCTAACTGTCGCGTCTTCGACCCGCATTTGATTTACACACCAGCCCGGAAGCCAAGGGCCAACCGGAGCTTGCGGGTTTGGTGCTGGTGGTAGTGGTAGTAGTAGTAGTAGTAGTAGTAGTAGTAGTAGTAGTAGTAGTAGTAGTAGTAGTAGTAGTAGCAGTAGCAGTAGCAGTAGCAGTAGCAGTAGCAGTAGCAGTAGCAGTAGCAGTAGTAGTGGCAGTAGTGGCAGTGGCAGTGGCAGTCGTAGTAGTAGAATAAATAACAAGGTGCTAGTGGTACTAGTAGTACGACTAGCACTAGTAACTAGCACTAGTATGCACGAGTCGGACTACGTAGTAGTACTAGTAGTACTAGTGGACAGTTCTACTTGTACCAGTATTAGTACCAGCACTAGAACTAGAACAGACTAGAACTAGTTCTCCTAGTACTAGTCGTCGTCGTGGAAGGAGTCGGAGTTGCAGCTGAAGAAGTAGGAGCAGTAGCAGCAGTAGCAGCAGTAGCAGCAGAAGCAGCAACAGCAGCAGTCCCGGTCGCGGTGGGGGTCGCAGTAGCAGTAGCGGTAGCAGAATTAAGCAGTAAGCAGTAGCAGCAGCAGGAACAGCAGCAGTAGCTACGCTGTACATACCCTACTTGGATGATTGTTGTCGCAAGGAGACACAGGAGTGGCCACTCCTCGAACACATGATTTGTGAAGCTGATGGGTTGGTATGGTGCTGCTTCATCGCCATCAGCTCAAAAAACGAACTGGCTTGGTCGTGCTACACATGATGCCCATGTTATGGCCGCAGAGTCGTTCTTCACAGGTCGTGGACGGAACGTCATTACGCACTTGCTTAGAGAAGTGCAAGAAGCCGCGATCCCGAGACAGACTGTTCGAGTTCGGGAGTCACAAGTTTCTGTGGGTGTTTCAGCAGCAGAGATTTTTGGAAGGACGCTTCGGTAGCAGAGTTTCAACTTGCTTGGAGTGCAGGTTTTGGGGACACGCGATTAGGGGACATGGGATGAGGCGTTACGTGTTTTAGTTTCTCATACCTGGCAGATCAACCCTGGATTTCCCAGTTTCGCATGCAGGAGACCGCGCCAGTCACGTGATCTAAGGTGCAGAGATGCAGCCATGTGCTTTTTCGTCTACAGCGGCCCGGCCGCATGTAACGTTGCTTTTCGGGGGCCAGACATGGATCCTAGGCCCGCGCTTGGCCGTCGTGTTTAAGCCAGGAAAAGGCTAGGAGAGATACCCTTCATGAGCCGCATGGAAGAGGACCGTTTGTGTAGTTTGAGACACTATACTGCAGGCACGTTGCTCTGAGGTGAGTTCGGAGACGTTTTGGGAGGCTTCTCACCCGTGATCTGGGCTAGCTGGCTCAGAAAGCTGCGCCTTCACTGTAGCGGGGCAAAGATTTAAGCCGAGGCCAGGACCAGTGGCTATCTCGACCTGATGACCTCCTTCAGGGCTGCTGAAGACGCCTTCGTCTTCAGGAGGCCGGACGACGAGTCCGACTTGAAAGGGGCATGTCGTGACATGTGCAGCTGCAGGCTTCAGGGCAAGACCACGGTGGACGTCTTCACTTGGTACGACTGGAATGCCGAAATTCTGAGAGATTCCTCCTTCATCTGAGCAGCCGAGGACTGGCGCCAACCAGATGCTCATGCAGGCTTCTGAGGCCTGAGAGTCCTGAGACTCTCCTCTCTCTCTCTCTCTCTCTCTCTCTCTCTCCCTTTTCTTGAATTGTGGGCCGCCTCCGCCTCTCTCTTGCTGGCAGCTGCATGGCTTGATCTTCGGTGGGGATGATGCCGCGGTGCACGTGAACAAGGACGGCTATGGGCATATTAGAGGTAAGGGGGAGAGAGAGAGAGAGAGAGAGAGAGTCCTGTAAGTGGCCCGGGTCTCAGCATTGAGGGAAGCACAGTTTCCGGCCTGTGGGGTGTGTGATGCTTAGTCTACGAGGCGGGTTGGGGGTTAGTGTAAAGGGGGGTTTCACCAGGTCGGCCGGTGCGTATTCCCCTGGAGTTTTTATCTTTTCTCACCGCCCGAAAACCCCGGTGCGCGAAATCGCGGGGCGGGGAGGGTGTTCGTGCCCGACCCTCCTGGCCGTGTTGAAGAAGAGAGAGAGCGAGAGAGAGAGAGAGAGAGCAGAAAACCGCGAGCGGAACGGAGGAAACGACAAGAAGAACACAGCCCAGCCGACAGTCCGCTCAAGCAAGCACGCAGCCAGGCGTCTGCCCTGCTGCAAAGCGAAACAGACGAAACCCTCGCAGCAGCCAAACAAGCCCAAGGGGGGAGTCGCAGGAAGCAAACGACCCCCTCGTGAGGGACCGCAGAGCTGAGGGAGCGGAGAGAGCGGAGGGGAGCAAAGCAGCCACCAGAGCAGCAGCGGCCGCCGAGCACATACACGAAGCTATGTGCATAGCGCGCAGCATTTTGCTGCACGGAGTGGAAGCGCACTTGGCAGCCGCAGCCACGAGCCTCAGCTTAGCCTCAGATGGAGCCCTGGGGAGACGGGGGCGCAAAGCTCCGCCAACCCCCAACGCCTTCCAGATCGCCGCCCTGATGTTGGGGATACTGGACGAAAGGGCACAGCAGGGGGACCCGCCAACAAAAGAAGAATTCGCCGAGGTCCTCGAGTTAACCTGGGGGGGCTGCGTTCCTCCAACTGGCAGTGCACACATGAAGCCACCGACACGGGGGAAGAAGCCGAGGCGGCCCTGCACATGCTGATCGAAGCTTACCCACTAGGTATGCAAGGCGTAGGGCGGCTTCGCAACATGTTGGATGCCGCGGTGTCTGCTTTGCAACGGGGGAGCAAGGGAAGCAGTAGAGCACGGCAAGCTGAGAGACTAAGGGGCTTGAAGTGTGCTGTGTGTTGACAGTGCATTAGGCCGCCCGGCGGCATCTTTCTAGCTTTTGCTACGCAGGCTTGTTGTCCCCTTGAGAAGCCTCTGGTCTCGATAACCAAACTGCCGCGCACACCTCGTGCCCACAACAGGGGGGAGCACACATCAGCCTTGTTGTGCATGAGGCCTGCGTGTGGACCCCGGTAGCATAGGCTCCAGTTGAGTGGCTCGGGGGGATGTCGAATTTTAACTTGTCAAGTGTTCTACCTGTGTGTGACACTCCCAAGCCAAGCTTTTCACATAAAGGAGGGGAGCACCCCTGGAAGGACAGCGACCTCACCTGCAGTCAACTTGTTTTGCTTACCTCTGGCGGGGGACCAGTCCGCCCAGGCAGTGCTCTCAACGCAAGGAGTGACCGTGAAAGTGAGACCCAGCGTAGGACCAAGGACGGATGTATGGTAGCCATAGGGGCCCGGCGATGAGGCCGGGAAGCCGGGGTTTAGAGTTCGCTGGGGATCACTACACGGCTTGCTGCACACTGCGTAGTTCGCTGCAACAATCAGGAAAGACCCCAATGCCAGCCACTCCATAGCACAGGGGGTGAGCTGGGCGGGCCGAATGGCCTGAGGTCGGCGACGAGCCCAGCGCCCTCAGAAAAAAAGAAAGAAAGAGAGCAGAAAGAAAGGACTGCTTGCGGCCCACACCCCGGAGCAAAGCAAAGCAGAAAGAAAGGAGAGAGAGAGAGAGAGAGAGAGAGAGAGAGCGAGAGCACTTTGTACTGTCAACCCGAATGGCGAGGCTTTGTAGCTAAAGGACACAGTTTCGACGAGAGACGAGAGTATACATTCCCCTAATTTCCCCTATGTGTTACTTATTCATCATCTTACATCTTCAGCTTTAGCGACCCGGGGGAACTATACTCGTTCCGCGCCCCCCTGAAACTCGCATAAACAAATATGCGGGTGGGCCTGAGGCCCGGGGGTCCTGACCGACCCCTATGCCCGGGAGAGAGAGAGAGAGAGAGAGTAGCGATTTTGGCTCAAGTGCTGCACGTGTGCTTGGGGGCCTCTGCCTCCCTCTTGCCAGGGGGGGAAAAAGGGGGTTAACCTGGACTGTCGCTCCAGGGGAGCCTTCCTGTCTTTCCCAGCGATTCTTGAGTCTTCACGTCCGCTGCCACTTTGTTTAAAAGGCCCCTTCAAGCTCTTCAGGAAACCCCACGAAAGGGGGAGAGGGCGGAAAGAAGGGGAAGCACAACCCTATGCTCCCTACCGCCAGGCCCGCGAAAGTCGGCAATGCCCGGGAAGACCGATGCAAACTTGCAGAGATCCTGCGAGAAATGGGGGAGCGCTGCAAGGCATGTTTGCAAGGCCCTTTTTACTGCAAGGCCCATGAGCAGGGGCCCGCATGCTATACGAGCATGATCGCCAACGGCATTGTTACCAGCACGGGGAGAACATGCGACCTCCGTTTGCGCTTCTCCTCTGTTTTGGTCTTCTTGGTCACGGGCTTCTCGGGCTCCTTCTCTCCGTGGGTGGCTCTCCTTGCCGCGAGGAACACCTGTTCTGCTTAAGCCAGGAGCGGCGCGACCTTTCATGGAAATCTCCCCACAAAGATTCGCAGCTCCTCCTCTATGCGGGGATTGCGTTTCCCCACCAGCTCAACCAATCTGTCGGCGCTTCTGCCTGTAGCTCGTCTTTCGTTGTGTCGCTGTACGTAGCACTTGTAGTCGTTGGTGTCTTTTACTGACAGTCTGACAGTGGTTCCCCGGTCGCTCTGTCGACGTACTGCCGGGAACGCCAGTCGTAATGGATGTTTCTGTCTAGCCTACCTGGTTCGTATAGCAGCACCATGCCAGCCTCCGTTTCAAAACGGACAAACCGCCACGCCATGGGTTGGCCTCAACCCTTCTCGCAATTTCCCCTCCGGCTCCGTCATCCGGCTTGTGGGCCGCTGCCAGCGATTTTGCGACAGCTCCCCCGCAAAAACAGCGAAAGGAGAAGAATATACAAGGCCAAGGACAAGAAGCACAAGAAACAGAGAGACCGCGCACCCACGGGGCGGGGAGATCGCGGACACCCCAACGGGAGAGCCGACGGCAGGCAACACGAGTCCTGCCAGCAACCTGGCAGACGAACAAGACTGGAGGAGCGACGACCTCAACGAGGAGCTTGTCAACAACAGCCGGCAACTCTGGATGCCAACCAAGCGGGAGAGCCAGAGCAACCCTCAGCCAGCACGACAGCTGGTTCGAGCTCCAGCCTGCGGGCACAACGGCCCAGAATGCCGAGTCGCAGTCCTCGCAGAGTGGTTCTGCGGCGCAGCTCCAGATGGAAAGCGGTGCAACAAGTTGCAGCTCCCTATGGGGGCCAGCCGTGAAAGCAGATGACGAACAAGATGAGAGGAAGCGCGTGTAAAAAACTTTGAGGGAGCGAGGGGGGATGTTGTGCTTTGGGGTTGTCTATTCTGGTGAGCTCTTTGGTTTGGGGGATAGCCAGCACCGATCCGCTCTCGTTCCCGCAGTGAATAGCTCTGTCTTTCGTACATATGCACGCACAGCAAATCCATGACCTTTCAGTGCATCCAAACGGTGTGTCTTGGAACTCCCGGCAAAGTTGCGTCCGGGTGTGACCTTTTTGCAAGGGCCAACAGTGGCTCTTCTCGGGCAAACTCACTCCAACGGGCTGCACAAAGCTCCTAATCCGAGGTTCTTCTCAGCGCACCTTGTCGCAACTTTGAATTCGGGGGACAGGAGGATAGAATTACTTCCAATCCGACCTTGATGCACCAACGTATGTTTGAGCCTGCGCGAAGCCGTGGGGGAATGCACGTTTTTCCTCCTGCTCTTGGAGAAGGCTGGCATGCATGTGAGAGGGAATGTTGTTGTTATCATGTACTTGCTTGTTGATCTGGAGTCCGGGGGAAACGCACGCGAGCCTTTTCCTTTTCCTCGTATAGCCGAGCCCCCTTCTGCGAAACCGAAGGGGGGATCAATCCCGCCAAGGAACAGCGGGTGTGCGAACTCGCACGAGGAGGGTAGCCTGGACGCTGCTGCCCCCCTCACGCCCGGTAGAGAGAGAGAGAGTTTAGGCCGGTGAGGGGGGAAACCCCTTCACCATAACCCTGGCGAACAAAAGAGTAGGCACGAGTACCCCAAAGCCGACCACTTAATAAACAAAGAGGTGGTCGGGCGGGCCGAATGCCTGCAGGTCGTACGCGACCCCTATGCCGGGCAGAAAGAAAGGGAGAGGGAAACAGGTCACGCTTCCGCAAGCGCTGTTGTTGGGTTTTCGAAGCAAGAACAGGCAGGGGACGATGCGAGTTGGTAGGGCTTGCAAACACTTTGCACGCAAGCAGGACTGCAATACGCTTGGTTGGACAATGTAGTCCTTCGATGTAAATCGTCAACTCATCCTTTGTGCAGACACGCGATTAGAAAGGAGTCTTTTTCAATGTCTAGGACCTCACACGAGCAACCTCCAGCGCTTCGCGATCCTTCAGCTCTCCACCACTTTTGGAGGAAGCCGCAACAGAGGGCCACGCTGCAGGGCTCGTAGCATCGCAGCTCAGGAGAACCACGGCGAGTCGAAGGCCACTCGGCACTTGAGGACCAAGCACTCGTGGCGGAGCCTTTCGTGTCCCCAAGCTCAGCGACGACCAAATTCGTAAGCCGAGGTGGACGGAGTTCGCGACTCCTTCGAGATTTGCAGGCACGCCCCGTGTTTGCAAAATTTTGCAAACGCGGCATCGGATCTGACTTCACGTCGAGAGTCCTGCACGTTGATGCGATGCCGACAGGTTCGAGGTCTTCGCTTTGCTGTGAGCTCTGCAGAAAAATGGAGCTGACGCTTCTCCTTTGTGCATCGGTCGTCCAGTGCATCATGACAAACACGCTCAGCTGAAGGAGCTGAAGACTGTGGTGCAGCGGGAGCTGATTCTCAACACTGCCAAGGCCGCAAACGCCTTCCTGGCTGCGCAGCTCGTCTGCTCCAAGCCAGGACCTGGTGGAGATGAGCACCGGAGCAGAGGCGAGTACTCCATGTATTCGTTCTAGCACGACAAGTCAGATCCTGGAGCCTGGAGGCTATGCTCACCAATCGCCGCTACGACGAGCGAGGGGTCCAAGCTGTAGCATGATCTAAATGTGTTTCGAATTTGCGAGATCCGATTCCGATCTATGAGCAGCTCGCATCAAGTCTGTATTCCGCATGAGCGAGGTTGAAACTGATGTACCGGATCTTCAAGCGCGAGGCTATGAGCTACCGTCCGCCGAGTCCTGTCGAGTCTACCGTCCAGTGACCTATTGGTGCAGCCGACGATGCTGCCGCACATTATCACCGCCATGGAGCCTTACATCGAAGGGAGGAGCCGGAGAGAACTCTTGGAAGGGAGAAACAGAGAAATTTGAAATCTACTGAAGGTACACCAGACTCATGCTTTGGTTGTGCTGGAGATGTTGAGAGGATTGCTATGAGCAGATGATATCGCATTGCCCTGTTTCCCGAGCTCGCAGGGCCCGCGGGGTTGTGGAAGACCCACAGATGATCGACAACCCCGCCGCGTACATGGAAAAGGCACCCTTTTACATTGAAGCTGCCCTGAAAGAGCGTGCAGCTCCGGGTCAATGCTCGTAGTTGATAATTCAACACTATTGGGGCCACTTGCTTAGGTGCTCGAGCTGAAAAAAGAGGTGGACGACATGGTCCGGAGCCCTACTCGTCGGTATTCACTGACGGCACGTCTGCCAGGAGGATGCACTATGTAATTGACGCTCTGTGGTAGGATGCTTTTGCGAGTCGTCATTTCAGCACCCACCCCTTGGGCTTCCAGAAGGGGCTTTGGAGGTCGCATCCTGCTTCGACAGCGACACTGGCTTCCAGAAGGGCCGAAACCGAGGTCTGGAGGCTGTGCTGAACAAGGCACCCAAGGGGCCTACACGCGTTTTTGCGCCTATGGCAGATTTCCGGAAATAAGGGGAGGCCCAGAGGTGAAGGATGATTACGCCACATGTGTTAGCTTCCGATCAAGACGTTGCAGTTTCCCGACATGTCATCAAGACGTGGCAGTTGCGGTTTCGGAGACGTAGCTGGCAAGCAACGCTTGCCATGACTGCGTGGCGGTGCAACTTGCTGGCCACCTGCAATGCTGACAAAACCCTAAGCCCTGTACCCCAGGTTTGCATGTTTCAGCCTTAGGACTTGATGCTGCGACTTTATGGGTTTAAGAGCTCTGAAACAGAAACTCTTCCCTAAACCTTAGGATTTCCTTCTTTCAGTTGAGGAATCTTCCGTGGTAGCTTTATCTGAACTAGCATGTTGTCCTAGACGATAATGAGTTCAATTCCTTGACCTAGGCGAAGGCCCCGAGTTTAGTGGTTCGTGCACTTGCCCTGCCTGCGAGTTTTCCTGAGAATGTGCTCTCGTTTGGCTTTCGCACGAAGCCTGCGGCACAGCAATGCCACTGCATGTGGTCCACCGTAGCTGTGTAACCTTCGGAACCTCAAGCAGTACACAATACCCGGCAAACCTCCCAAGCATACAACATCTCTGCAGGGGTCATCCAGCTTCGGGCGCCTGTTTAGGTGAGTTTCCAATCTTTGAGACAGGACACACGATGCGCCAAGTATCTCGCTCTCTTCTGCGATCTGCAGCTCCGCCGGCATGCACTTCCAGACAGTTGCTGTCAAGGATGACAGGTCTCCTTGTGATTGTGCTCATTGTGCTCTAAGCCAGGCTCAAAAAGGGATTGAAGGGCAGAAACGAGGACGAAGTGCAGACCTTGGTCAACCAAGTCGCCTGGCCCTCGGAGCAGGGTGAGCCCGCACCATCTATGCACCCTCTATCCTCCCCTGCCGGGCTTAGGTGAGTCTCTTCGCACATCTCAAGGAATTCTGTCTCACGCATACTGGCATGTTGCAGCTGGCTTTTGCGAAAGGATAAGGACATCTTCTTGGACATCTACAAGGCAGCTTGAGCGGCAGGTAGACTCCTACAGAACAGCGGCCTTGCTTGAGATGTGTCCCGCCTCAGAGCGCCTTGTCCCGGCGACTGTTGAACAAGCTCTCTGTCTCCAACGATGCCGAGGAAGAAGGGTGCTTTCGAGGCTTTTTCTTCGCGGAATCCAGCCGCAGACTCGAGCGAAGTGCAGGACTGCTTTATCACCAAGCTGAAGGCGAGCCGGCGAGCTGGTGCGAGAGGCAAACGTGAATCAAGAGGATTCCGCACAGGTGGAGTGCGGTCAGCAATCCATCCAAAAGCTGGCAGGGAGCCCAATAGGGTGGAGCCCACTGCACGAAACACGAAGGACAGTGATGTGGCGTTTCTTTAGGCCTCCATGTTCACGGACATGGCGCTGAGCGACCAGCTTCAGGTGCATCTTATTGTGCCCTCAACGAGCCGGCATGAAAGAATGGTGTGACAAATGGATGGAAATCCTGAGCCCGAGGAGGAGTACATGAAGGGCTCGCACTCCGGTTCTCCGGGTGGCGTAATCCACGAGGCGAGCCCACCGCCCAGTGAGAATCCGCCGTGATGTTGCAACTGTCGCTGCCTGTTTGTGCAGGTTCGAGTGCTGCAAACCAATGCCTGGCCCGAAAAGGTGAGATCGGGTCAGATCAGATCCCGGGAAGTGGCAACACCCGTGCACCCTCCGCATCAAGGCCGACGACGCGCCTGTTATTCCCTGCCCGGAGATGACCACCTGCATCACGGCCGGGCACTCCAACAGACATCGGTTGACCGCACCTTCTTCACCTGCAGGCCTACGAAGCTTTCTACAACTCGAAGCACAACGGCCGGAAGTTAAGGCCAGACAAGACCCACATTGCCCTACCCAAATCATGACACAGCCCAAGGCCCGTAGACTTGGGCCGCCGCAGTCCAGATCGCACAAGCAAACCCCGCAAGTGAGGGGCGAGAACGGTGCTATTCCCTGAGAGGTGGATCTACAACATGGGTAGTGTGGTGCAGCACTGAGGGGTCCAGGATCTTGGGCGAACTGTTGAGTCGAAAAATTACAAATACCGCGCCGCACGATCCTGCAATCACCATCGCGTCCGGTCACAGATACGAAACTCTGATCTTCAATTTCCCCTCGTGCGCCAACTTGTTTTGAACTCTTTCGGGGGGCGGGTGGAGCTTGATGGGGAGTCAATCTGATCTGGAGATGAGAGAACAACTGTAGCATGACGTATGGCGGGTTGCGACCTCAAGAGGGGCGAGTTGTCAACATGCCCGAGTTTGGCCGATCAGAAACAGAAGCTAGCGGAAATTGAGGGCCTGGCGAGAGGGCAGGGGGTGGGGGCCCGGGCAAGATGGGTGGGACGGGCGGGGCATGCGAGCCGTTCCATGCTCAGCACAAAAACGTGCTCCCATGAGAGTGAAGAGGTGTCGTTCCTCTGAGTTCTGGTACAAGGTCATGATTGGAAGCAGATTGCTTCAAGCAGGATACTGTACCCTGGTATTTGTTTCCTTGCTGCAATCGCTAGGCCTTACAACAAGCATTAGCATAACGCAGCCCGTTAGTTATTTGTGCACTCACGCGGAGCCTAGCGTCCAGAGGGCAGAGCACAGACATGACGGGAGTTAGACTCGCACAATGCAATACACATCACAATACGCGGTGTATACGATCCATGTGCAGCTGCCTCCGTGGCAGCCTGTAGAATCTCGTGGTTGCTACGGGACACCCGGTGTATGACCGTTTATGTCTTCAGTACACGAAGGCATGCATCTTGTTTGCCCTTTGAGAACCTCTGAGCTCTTGGCAGTTGCAGACCTTTGCCACCACCGTATCTGGTACTGCATTTCATGGTCCCACTCTGTCTGCTTATGTTTCATCCTGCGATTGAGCGCAACCGGAAACCGAATCATTATCATGTGTGTCGTTTGGAGTTAGACACCAGTAGAAGGCATCTAGGAAGAGCTGCCTAGGAGTTAGATACGATGCAGGTTTGCCATTGACACGAAATATCACAGCATTCAACGGAACTGAATGAGACGTACAGCCTGGGGCATAATGGAGTGCAGCGCGATGTAGCGGACCATAATTCTCCACAGCGCCCAGCAGCGCAATCTAACTCTGCAAGTAAGTGTCTACTGCCCGAGTGGATGAGCAAGCACACATGCCACATGCACTCGCAAATACCAGATTCCCACAATGACACAGTTCGTAAACAGCATAGAGGCAAACGAGCTTCCACAGCTGATATACATTACACAAGGTGTGTATACCAGAGATGGAGTTCGACGCATCTGGCAGATATTGGATGTCCGCAAGCCGGAGTTTCCATGCCACTCCACACTTCGGTGATCTTCCTCGCTTCCCCCGGGCTCATGGAAAGTCGGACGGACGACCACGGTATTGGGGAAAACGGAGGTACACATGTTCTTGATGACCTACTCATTAGACGCTTGTCTTTCCCCTCGTTTGCGTGCATGTATGCCTCCTATACAGGGTTACGTGAAGTTTGCTTCCGACTCGTCTAGCACCAACGAGTTCCTGCAGCGCTGCAGACTAAGGAGCTGAAGTGCTACGGGCTGGCCAGGCCCCATATCTTGGTCCGGCCCTGTGCGATTTTTGTGAATTCGTCCTCGTCGCCGGAAGTTTAATGTAGTTATCGCGATAAGCTCATTCGTGCTATGCTTATATAAGAAGAAGTGTATGCCGGGCTCCTTTCGAATCGGCACACCTGGGTCGGATGCGAGCAATTCGCGAGACGGAAGAACACAGCTTTGCTCTTCGTGAGGACGACGCAGGACAAAGCCTAGCAGTGACACATGGTCCGAAATGACCTGGCTTCTGCAAGGTGGTATCGGCCTATCAGTGTCTCGCACTGGTTCTCTTCAACAAAAGGCAGCAGGTGCAGAACGTCGGAATTGCTCCGGTTCGGGCCATAAGGCTAACTGTCTCTGCCGTGAGGTGACGCTGAGGGAGATATGCGAGGCGACCAAGCTTCCGGAGGAGGAATCTCGACGACAGGTCCTTGGCCTGCACAGCTGTTAAAGAGTGCCAAAGGCTGCTCTGAACATGGCGACAGATCTTCAGATTCCGAAGAAAGCTGAGGTGACCTCCTTGACAGTTTCCCGCCACAAGGTGCTCCTGCACGATGCGACAGGACGGGACTGTCATGCATGGAAGGGGGACGGAGTGGGAGTCCTTCGATAGGCAAGGACCTCGGCAGTGAGACGAAGCTCCAGGCCAGCTCAGCCCGGCCAGCTCGCTCATCTCCATCGCCCTCTTTCGCTCTCTCTGTGTCTCGTTCTCTCCCTCCACTCTCTCTCTCTCTCTCTCTCTCGCTCCCCATCTCCCCATCTCCCCTCTCTCTCTCTCTCTCTCTCTCTCTCTCTCTGTTAAATGACACGAGCCCAATGATGCACCTAATGGTCATGATGCATTTATGAATGCTGCGATCCCGAATGTCTTTGGCTCAAGACTGGATCGGCTGGACATCACAACGGAAAGTCTGCTTGCGTGTGACTGTGGGGAAAGTGGTTGATCTTGGTTGCTCTGTACCCTTAGATTGTACAGTTGAATTTGGCATGGTAGTTCCAGGGACTGAGAGAGAATGAGTTCGGAACCAGAGGGATTCGCGGTGAAATCAAGCTGTTCCCGCTACCAGGTCGCTACCAGTGTACCACGGAGAGCTGGAGAAACGAAAACCAATTCGTGGCAGCTGAAGCGATATGCAAGACTGCACAAGACACTGACCAAACTGTTGATGGATGATTGGAGTTCTTGGCCTGAGGATTGGTCCTGGAACACTTAGGAATGGTGGAGTTCTACAGAGGTTCAGCCACAGAGCCCGAATGGTGCCACGAGTTCAGGCTCGAATGTCCCTGAGGACATCGCCAAGAATGAACCACCACAAAATGTTTCAGCTGTGACTGTTGAATCGTCGGATCAGAGTGCACCCAGAGTTGCAAAGACTGCTCGGGGAGCAAAGCCCGGACTGATGACGAACTTGTTCTTTGGAGCGTGCTGGTTGTTTGGCGCAATGAGTTCCGGAGTGCCACCAATGCCGACTCAGCGTGTGCCGAATTTGACGCGCATGCCCCGAAAATGACCCGATTGGTTTTGACGACAGCTTGGTTGAGTTACACATGCAGGCAGGACTGGTCGACAAAACCTGCATACTGGAGCTTCCGTGAATTGTTGTATTGAATGGTTTGCGCCGGAATATCCGGTGTTACAGTTGAGTGAGAGCGCACCCTCACTGCGGAGCTTGTCTGGAAAGACACTGGATGTGCAAGGTCGGAAGATTGGTTCAGCTTGATTGTGGCAATGGCCAGTCGTTGAGTGTTCAGTTTTATGTGTGCGCTGGCATACGTTTCCACGGGTCAGTGTTCCCCGACTGTTGTCGCAAGATTTCTGGACGGTTATGGCGAAAGACTACATGGCGTTGATTCACACGACTGGTAATCCTGCACCGATTGTGCGACAAGGTACACTGGTGTATTTGACGCCGACTGTCATCCTTTACGCTGTGGCGACTGCGGCAAGGTTGGCAGCAATGTGTCTTCCAGAAGTAACGTCGGGAATGGAAGAAGATCTTGGTGCCCTGGAGTGCGTGGAGTGTCGGATGTGCATGACTGTTCGATTGACCAGCCAGATTGGTTTCCTGATTGCTGCAGCTTAGGGGCTGAATTTGCCGATGGTTCCCGTTGGGGCACTTGGGAAGTGAATGAGACTGAGCTGAAGTTGATTCGCCAGGTGAAAGTTTGGAGGAATGAAATGTTGGACCCTCGGAGCAAACTAGCAAACGAAATGCCGGCACCAGTGCCACGCCTGACTGGCGAAAAAGTGGCGCACAAGCTCTACCGAGATGGTTCGGCTGTCACTGTCAGAGATGCAAATTTCCTGCCACTGACGAATAGCAGGCCACGTGATGAGAAGGATTGGCGAGGACTAGTTGGGTTTGCGTTCCTACTCCAAATGCCAACTTTCCAAATGCACTCATGCGACCCTAGCCTGGTAGTTCCAATCGCATCATGCCGATCCTACCTGGGCCCTAATTCAACATGCCTTTTAAATCTACTCATTTGGAATTTTTTGCTCACAACTGGAAATTTGTCGGCCGGGAAATTCTTTATATTAGGGGGAATTACTAAACGCATGATGGGGTTATATAAATACACACATAAATAAGTCACATAAATACACACATAAATACATGCTTACATACATACATACATACATACTTACATACATACATACATACAGACACAGGGCAGGCGCACAACTGTTGGTGAGTGGTGGCTGCGTCGGTGAGGATCCTGAAACAGTAAAGATTTGTGCATGCTAGACTGAAGGCTGAAGCTGGCTGTCAGAATATGCGGACAGGAGACCCAGGAAAGCTACTCGACAGCACGAGTTCAGCCTGCCCCAGCACAATATCATGCGCACACGAACACGCGCACGACACACGGTCGCCAGCCAAGAACAGCATCAGGCTGGCATCCTAATGTGTCTGTTATGCAGAACTGCAGCATGTGGTCATATGTGGTCCTGCAATGCCTTCATTCGGGACACTTTCGTTTTGTCGTCACATCCTGTCCAAGACCAGCCGTCAGTGTACTCTACGCAACATATGGAAGGTTTCAAGCAGACACAATCCAGGGACTGCTTCAGAAAGGCATTTTGCCGTCATCGAGTCGAAGATGCAACCAGGCCATGTTTCGCAGAAATCCCAAGAACAGGCCGGCAAAGTGCAACGAACCCTTCAAGATTCAATAATTAAGACTGACCTTCCTTCGGAACTCCTCCACGCGTGACGCCTTCTTGAGAAGTTCCCCAGCTGCTGTTGACACTTATTCTTGTTTTTTACTCCGGTTCGAACTGTGCTACATGCAAATGATCGCGGCCGATCTGCTCAGCCACAGCTAGAGCACGCGGTTGAAAGATGCATGCCCGCCAGGTTTTTGCAAGCAGTTCAACAGACAGGGCCTTCGAAGCTCCTGTCAGCATCCATCGTATTTGTATCATTCGTCGAAGTGGATGGGGCGTTTGTGTATTCTGTATTGTCCTAGCTTTGAGCATGCATACATGCCACGTGCATATGGTGTTTGTACACATATGTATGTATGTATATATGTGTGTATGTGTGTATGTGCGTGTATGTGAAAATAACACGTCCCCTTTCTCCCCAGGCTTTGACCTTTGCCAACCTTCGTTGGCTCAAGACCACTTTGCCCTTGCAGATAAAAGGCGCTTCCGAACTTCAGGGCTACTTGGGCTCAGTCGTGTGAGCTTGTGCACGGCATTACTTTAGGGTAGTTTGGTGCGCATTCTGGACTCGCGTGCTTTCGCATGGTAGCGGAGCTGAAAGCTCCAAGGAACTTTGGTAGAGCAGCATGGCACTAGGAGGTGAAGACAACTTTACAGGGAAGCTTCGGATTCCTCTGCCAGAGACTTTCTCAGGGAACCCAGCAGACTGGGAAGAAGGGTCATGGAACTTTAAAGCGTGCATTTCGATGTTCGAGGTAGGTGCTGTGACTTTGATGGACAATGCTAAATGCGCACGGCTGCGCAAGGTGACTTTACAGATGCGGATCTAACGGTCACTTTGGACACAGGTGATGTGGTCCGGAACAGACCGTCAACCGAGTACTTTTCTCCCGAGAACTACATTACTTACTTGATTTCGCAACGGGCGCACCCCTATTTGGGGTCCCCTACGTTTTTCGCTATACCAACTGACTCGGTTATAACCACCAGACTAGGTTATAACCAGCCGACTAGGTTATAATCAGGTGTACGTCATCGACTACAGTATTATATCCGGTTTGAAGACTAACCCGGGAAGTTGCAACAACCCATGCTTTCAGAATGCTGAAACCCGCACAACGCTAAGAATTCTATGACACCATCGTCGAAACCCTGTTACAATGTGCTAAAATCCTTGCCTTGAAGCCGTCGATATATCTTCGTAGTTCATCTTTGTGTGACTGTATCTAAACCGCTGTATTTCAGTTTTTTCCAACAAGTGCGCTGTAGTCATGAGTCTGCTTCAGTCATTCCTTATCGCGAACTAGATTTTGGAACGAAAAGTTCTCCATCTTTGTACTGTAATGCCGCAATCCCACCAAAGTCTCTGTTGTTGGACGCATTGCTATGACGTTTTGGCAAACTGATAGCTTTCAATGACATATCCCTGTGCCCCTATGTGATTGCTTTTAAACACTGGTATATCCGGTAGGTGTATTTGAGTGGTGCATCCCTTAATTCTGTATGACGGCTGCCCCAAGCCAAAATTGAAAACTTGCATACTACAAGCTTAGCAAAAGTTGTATAGTGTTTTTCCTGGGGGACGACATGAAGCGTCGCTTCTTAGGACGCGCACTGTCTCTATATGCTGAGTGATGAAGCCTGTGTTTTTTGTATCAGCATACTTTAACCATCACGTAAAGCCGACTGAAAACCATAAGGCTACATCTAGCTTGTCCGAATTTCTGTTTGTGTTCTTGTGAATATTCACTGAAGGTCGAATAGAAGCCATTGTTCCCAGTCCAGAACGTGATCCTCGTGTTAGAAAAAGTGGTAACCACACACCGAATCACTCCTCGAAAGAGGTTCATCCATGTAGTTGGAAATAGCAGCGCTAGGAATTTTCTACGTACCGAGCGAGGAAACCTAACAATTTGCAAGTTGCAAATTTTGTTTCGCTCACCACACATATTCTTATCAGTTTTGTCTCGTCGAAATCCGGCTTCCTTGGAACGATGTTTGAACATAACGTTGCAACCAGTTTGCCTATGTACGAAGTGATGAAACCTGACCACGCTGTAAACTTTGAAATACTGTCTCTCCCCTACAATGACGTCGTATCAGTCGTATCTCCACTTTCTGTGTACCGTGATATTCCAATGTTGACAACACTTACTGACCTACTGTAATCCCGATAGAGCCCCTTCATATTCCGCATTTTGATTCCTGGGTGAGTGACATGTTAACGGCTATTCTCTCAATGTGTACACTGGATCTCATAAACCCGATGTACTGGAACGGACAGACCATTATGTAAAGTCCGCCATATAGCCTTTCCGCTAAAGTTGGGGAATGCGCACATGGTCCCCGGAATTATGTTTGTTACAGAGCACTGCATCATGCCTCAGCAACCGAATACATGCCAATTACCTCGGACCCTCTATTCTTCTAGTCCTTGTTTAATTTCATTGCGGTTACATTCACTGAAACACCGAAACTTTCGAACGTTTGGATTTAGGTGTTGATGAAGTAGCGGTGGCACAGGCCTGGTTATAACCTCTGTCCCCGGTTATAACCAGGACACCTGCGTAGTAGACAGCCCTAGACCCATCGCTAAACCATTAAACCATCAACAAACCATTAAATTAGCACACCGTTAAACCAATCCTTTCCCCCAATGGACCCATACCAATAAACCATTAAACCATTAAACCGATCCTTTTGCCCCATACCACTAAACCATTAAACCATTAAGCCAATCCTTTACCCCATACCACTAAACCACTAAACCATTAAACCATTAAACCAATCCTTTCCCCCAATGCCCCTAAACCACTAAACCATTAAACCATTAAACCATTAAACCATTAAACCAATGCTTTCGGCCCATACAGGGAAGTGTCTCTCTCTATAGGGGAAATGATTGGTTTAATGGTTTAATGGTTTAATGGTTTAGTGGTATGGGGCAAAAGGATTGGTTTAATGGTTTAATGGTTTATTGGTTTGGGTCCATTGGGGGAAGGGATTGGTTTAATGGTTTAATGGTTTATTGGTTTGGGTCCATTGGGGGAAAGGATTGGTTTAATGGTTTAATGGTTTAGGTGTGCAAAAACCCAGGGGACCCCATATAGGGGGGTACCCTTCGCAACTTGTGAGAGATTCGGCAACACTTGTTGTTCGACAGAATGAGGACAGCAACGGCTTTGAGACATGGAAAAGACTTTACAAGAAGTTCTCGCTGCCAGGAGCCACGCGGAGCACGTCACTTTTGACGCAGTTGTTGGACGTTAAGTTCAACCCAGCAACCTTCGAGCAAGACTTTAACGTGTGGGAAACAATAAAGTCGAGATACGAACGACAAGCAAGACAACCTTTACCTGATGCTGTACTTGTTGCAACTTTGCTGAACAAGACAACAGGAGCTCTACAACAACACCTCAGGTTGAATGCACAAACTTTGGCTACTTATGCTCAGGTTCGTGAGGTTATCCTTGAGTATCATAGATCACGACTTTTGATGAACCCTGTTGCACAAACGTCGGCGAATGCAACTTTTGCTGGTGGAGCTTCGGCTCCAATGGACATTGGTGCTTTAGCAGCAGCTTTGTGGAAAGGAAAAGGAAGGAAAGGAAAAGGAAAGAAAGGAAAGGAAACCGAAAGGACTTGTCGAAGTCGTCAAACATTGGAACTTTATGATGAAAGGCAAAAGAAAAGGAAAAGGAAAATCTGGCTCTACTTCGGTTTGCTGGACTTGTGGTAAGACAGGAGGACACTTTTCGAGTAACTGCCCGAACCACCGTGTTTCAGCTGTTGAAGGTGAAGAACCCGTCGGAGGACACAGGAGATTGGTCTCACTTTGGTGAGGACGATTGGACGGATTGGCGAAGCCTAAGGAAGAGGCTTCCTCGTCAAGCGGCGCGGCAACTTTGCCCGTGGCGGCTGTGACTTTGCAAGGGCCACCTGGACTTTCGACCCCCAAAGCCTAACCGAAAGCTAAGGCAAGCATCAGCCCGAGCACTTTGCTCATGTCGGCTGTTGTGCTCGAAAACTTTGGCTTGGGGAACACTTTCAGAGTTGACGGGATGACGAATGGAGTTGTAGACTTCAGCTTTGGTGGTTTCGGTGAATGTGAGAACTTTGAGCCTACGGCCTGTATGGCACCGCTTGATACTTTCTCCTTGAATAGTCGCACGGATGATGAGAACCAACGACTTTTCAGTGTGATCTTGGTCTTAAGAATCTGAATACGACTTTCAAGGATGTCGCTTTGGAGGAGCATTTGATTGCTTCTACTTTGGAGGATACCGAGCCTTGGGTTCTCTTTGATTCAGGTGCTGCAACTCATTGTTGCCCGAAGGACTTTGCCTCTGAGTGGCCACTTCTGCCACTTACAGGTAAGGCTCCACCTTTGAGGAGCATTTCAGGTCAGCCTTTGACGGTCTTTGGAAGGAGACTTGTGAAGGCTGACTTTGAGGGCCAGCCCTGTTTCTTGCACTTCTACGTTTGCGACGTTCCCTACTGTGTGGTGTCTGTTGGCAGACTTTTGAAGTCAGGCTTTGACGTGAACCCTTCTAAGAAGGCGAACACTTTGGAAACACCAGATGGACACAAGGTGCCCATCACGAGACATGGTTCACTTCTTTTCGTGAGGCCCACTTTGGCACCTTTCAACAAGGAAGACTTTGAGGTTGTGTGTAACACTTTTCACACACAGAGTGCACAAGGTACCGAGCTTCTTTCATTTGGAAAAAGCATAATTTGACGTCTTATATTGACTAACACTGGCTTGCCCTTAAAATGTGCGTTTTTCGTGGTTGACGTATCAGTAATATATGTTCCAAAAAGGCGTTCGGTACCGACTTGATGTTAGATCTTGAATTATGCAGGTACTGGTTTAACCAGAATGGAAAGTAGATCAGCATTCACCTAATCAGTGTTTGGTGCTTAAACCTCACAAATAGTTTATCCAACATCTAATGTTTATGCGTTTTGTGTACACAATCTCGCCGGTATTGGCATTTTGTTCAGAGGCATGTGCACACAAGTAAATGCTAAAGCAACGCATATGTAATTGGGGTTCAATCAAAATTCTGTCAAATAATGCAGGTTTTAAAACCAGATCGCTGATGTTCCCTGAATACCCCTATGGTGCTCAAGCAGTGTTCGAGCTGTTTTCACACATTGGCATATAACAAGTTTGACATCTAATATTGCTAAATTAACATTTGCTGAGCTGTCAATATGCACAAAACCTTGTAGCTGATTCTTGAATACCATAGGTTAATAGATGTTGCAGAAGTGTTTGTTCCAAGATGCGTTCGGTACCTACTTGATGACAAATATTGAAGTATACAAATTCAAGCATGTCTAGATACTGGTTTAACAGGAAGGGAGAGTAGATCAGTGTTCACCTAAAAAGTGTGTGGGGCTTAATTCTCACGAACAGCTCATCCAACATCTATGCGTACAAAATGTCGTTGTAAACATCCGAGCCACAGTTCGCACCTCACATCACAGGTGAATGACAAGTTCAGCAACGACAAGGTGAAGGTTGCGGTGAGCCTCATCAAGAAGGAGGACACGGCACAATTAAAATTTGTGAAACTGGGATGACGGCTTAGGCACCGGGCCGTCGGCTCGCGCAAAGAATCGCAAATGAGAACGTGAGGGCTGGCGCCGGAACCCACTTCGGTCTTGTGATGCATTCAAGACATGTTGCGGAAGTGGTGGCCTTGAAGCATAAAGGGAAGGGGTATTCATAGGAGAAAGCGGAGACCACGACACTGGCCGAGGCTGGGGACCTCACGAATAAATATCAAATATGTCCCTGGATGTGGATTTGTGGATGTACCCGGTGACGAAAGCTCCGTGTGCGCCGAGGCGCCGGTGGAGCGCAAGCACGTCATCGACGCTGCCATTGTTCGGATCATGAAATCCAGGACGCCTTTCTCGGTCTCCTTGTCTCCTTTGTTTGCTCCTAGTGCTTTCTCCGCATCAGGAACAGGCTGGAACACAACTCGCTCTTGGACGAGGTCTTCAGACAATGCACTCTCTTCAAGCCACAGCCAGCGCAGATCAAGAGCCAGATCGAGCACTTGATTGAGAGAGGCAACACCCTGCATGTTGTTGATATGTCGTGCCATTAGAGACTCGAGACGATCTTAGACAATCCATCTTTTGTCAGAATTCCTGAAGCGCGACGATGCCAATCGCAGCATCTACCTTTACCTGCGTCACTCTCAGATCACAGATTGCAGGCAGCAGCCGTTTAAGTCTCGCTGCAAAGCTTCGCCGTACACAGGCCGTGAGTCTCCTTGGTGCTTCCGGACTGACGGCTGACGTTCCACCTGAACATGAAGCCTTACCAGATGAATTGAGGCAGGTCCGAAATTGCGCAGCAAGCGCATGGCGAATGCGTGCAGAAGGCGTGCAGCGAAGGCCGCGAGGCGCCCGCGAGGACGGCGCCGCGCCCGGCCAAGCCGAGGGCCGTGCGCCGCCGACCGGCATGTCTGGACAGAGGAAAAAGATATGTGATGAGACCTGAATTGGGAACCTGCAACGCTCGCCCATGGTCCTTGTCACAGTGTCAAGTTCTTGTGCTGATCATTCACGACAGCCATTTTGTGGTCCATCCCGGGTGCGCAACATACGGCACTGACCGCTTGGATCTCGACGCCAGTACAGGTGTGGCACTGAAGCTTCGAGTTTCTTCGCTTTCGCTGAGGCCACGAACTTGCAGGTGGGGTGCGCGGCTTTTCCACCCGGCCTGCACTTCTTCATTCTAGAGCAGCACCAACTAAAACGGGAGGAGAAGATGGCCGCACTTTTGGATGCCAAGACCGCAGGACTCCACACGTTCTCTGCTGCAGAACATTCACGCACGCGCACACACACACACAGCTCGCAGGACTCATGCAGTACATGCTCCTCGGAGAGCACTGCTAAGGGAGAGACGAGAAGAGAAGACAACAGTTTCTCTTTAAGGAAGCGGCCTCCAATGGCTCTTCTGGCCAGTGCCTCGACCTTCGACTGCCTTGGCCTCGACGCAGGTGCCTGCCAGGCCCGAGGAGAGAGAGCTCCCTCTGCCCTCTGCCTCTCCCCCTTTGATTTTGCACTCGCTGCGCTCGGTTCCAGCTCCGCCCCCACTGCAGGCACCCAGCAAGCAGACCTTGGCGAAGCGGCGCCTGCAGCTGATGAGCAAGCAGGACAAGAAGGTGCGCTATGAGGGCCCATGGCGAGACGGAAAAGGGGCAGATTGGCTTCCCGTAACTTTTCGCCTCTGCAGGCGGCAGAGGACTGGGACCGTGGCTGCAAGCACCGGGCGTTTTGTGTGCCTTTCCGTGGCAGGAATGTCCGGTGGCCAGTCAGGCGCTGCAGATTCCTGCGATCTTGGCCGCTGCATTCTTCAACCGTTCAACCGTTCTGTTTGTTCTTTGCGTCAGGTCCTCTTCGATGCCTTGGCTCTCGATTCGACATCCTTGAAGCGGGCCCCGATCAAGGCCCGGTGCGACAGGTCGCAAGAAAGAAGACAGAAGGGTTGCAGGCCGCACTGGGTGAAGGACCTGGGCTCCACGCAGAAGCTGCCCTTCAAGCTGCCTGCTTCACACAAGACGTCGTCCAACAACAAGGCCAACACAGCACCCAGTGGCGAAGCTCAAGAAATCATTAATGCGTCCAGCGAAAGGAACAGGCCGTGTCTGCTTCGCTTTCCACGGGCTCGACGAGCGAGGCACGGGATAGAGCAGACCGGGCAGATTTTTGGATCTGTACAATTCTTGATGCCCCAGGGGTCGACGGAGTTCTGAGCCCTGCGGGGATTCGTGGGCTTCTGCAGCCTGCAGAGAGGCTACAGCAAGCATGCTTTTGGCTCCTCGAATCAAAACACCACGCCTCAGTGGCTGAATATATCAAGTGACTCCTCAAGTCCTGTTGCCTGGCAGCCCTTTGAGCAAGCTGTCAAGCACTCCGATGTTTCGCACCTGACAATATCAGCAAGAGCGGAACGTGAGCATAAGGCGAAAGTCCGCGCTCACTAAGACTGTTCCGGGTACAGACCTCATGCATGTTGTAGCAAGATTCGCACCTAACATCAGTGCCCATTTTCAACTCCTCTGACAAGCCTAGGGTGTGGGATTTCTTCCGTGACACCCTGGGATTGTCAGAGGCTCGCCAGCTGCTTGTCGCCATTTCCCACCGTCTCAGTAGATGCATGCCCTTCTGTGCCCTGACAATGATCTGGCCACAAGTCTTCTCCATCGAAGATGCGCTTGCTTAAGGTCCCACCGTCGAAGCATCCTACTTATCCATGGTCTTACTAGACTGCGTCATGGGACGAGCTGATCGAAGAGAAGACATGTGGAGAAAGACAGGCACTTGACCATGTGCAGACGATGCGGGTCCGAACCGTCCCAGTGGTGCACAACGGCATTGAGGCAGTGAAGCCACTGGGCTTCAGGGTTATCTTTCAGCCAAGACATGGGGGATTTGGAGATTGCCGCACCTCGTGCCAGTGCCCTCTGAACTTAATTCGAGAGGCTGAGATTCTGGGCATGTTTTCCCGTCCAGGGTGACTTTTCCGCACGTGTGAATGTGCACAGCATGACGAGTTTAGCACGAGCCATTTGTGATGCACTACGAAATTCGTCCAAGGTCGCAATTGGCCAAGTTGTATGACTTGTATATAGGTCTTTGTGTATCCATGTCACGACTGATTTCGGATGCACGCATTCGGATTGGTTGTCGTGCAAACCCACAAGGCATGCACCATCGAAGTTTACCAGAGAAAGACGTGTGCAGCACAGTTGTCATTTCGATCTTACAATGGGAGATCAGGCCCTTGTCTCCATAGCAAAGTCTGGGCGAGGCGATTCGCTATGCATGTAGCCGTCAAGACCATCTTTTCCGGGTGGTGGACGCAGGACTCAGCGGCGGAGTGTTCGTCGGATGCGATTCCCATCCGCAGCTACGTCTTGAAGCCTTGGAAAGCAATTACAGTCGAAGAGCAGCTCCACCGGGAAAGGCACAAGGGTTCCATGGGTCTTTCCCTACAAGCATTGCAGCAAAAACCGACTCCATGTTCAACCTGAGACCTCTCTAGGAGCTCCCGGCTCTAGGCCTTAGGTTTCGGAGCCATGGGTGGCCTGTGGAGTTCCGGAAGCCCTCGGCAGCCGGGCATCTACGTGGACACCGCCGAAGCTGATGAGGGCTGGATGGCCTTCGAAATCACAGTAGTAGGCCTGGCCGGAGACATTTGTTTGCACTGGGGTGTGGGAAAGCACAGCGTGGAGGAGTGGATCGTGCCGGTCGATTCTCAGGCCCGCACCGTCCCAGCCGCCAAACGCGTCCCGGGGGCGCTGCAGACGACCTTCCCACATCGTCGGAACGAGCGCAAAGTCCGCTTGGAGATCAAGACCGATGCAGGATTGAAAGGCTGCCAGTTCGTGCTGCACAAAAAGCCGAACGAGTGGCTCAAAGATGGATCACGAAACTTCATCTTGGATTTTTCCAAAGTGGCTGACAGCAGCGGCTTTCGAGAGCTGGTTGCAACGGCAGCCCAAGAGAACCCATCCGCCAAAGTGTCCTGTTACAGCTCGTGTGGCATCGAGGTAGCAATCCTTGCAGTTCTACAAGACGGCGGTTGCGATGTACAGGCAATTGTCCGTACCGGACGCGATTTGATACTCCAGTACGGCCTTGCCGGTGAGGACCGTCGATGGACATCGTCTACCAGACTCAGGTTGCAAAAGATGCAGGGAGACATTAGCATGGGGCAGATGCGACTTGAAAAAGACCTCAACAAGTACTTGATGTTCGTTCTGCACGACCCCAAGGTCGACCAATGGCTGAAAGATGCTGGCCGAGACTTTGCCTTCACGCTCCCCGGGAACTTCGGAAGGGGCAAGCAAGCTGCAAAGCCTCAAGGCTTCAGCGGCTTCAGCCCAGTGCGGCTCCAAAGACGAGCCTCCAAGCTCTTCAGTACTTTTGTGGAGGAAGTCCAGAAAGCGGAGCCGGATGCGAAGACGAGCTCCTGGACGGTTCCGGGCAATTATGGCCTCGAGGTGGTCGTCTTGGGGACTGCAGCCGAGACAGGTTGTAACATCCACATGCTGGTGCATGCCAAGGTGGCCCTGGTTCTGCAGTATGGCTTAGCTGAAACAGATCGGGCCTGGAAATTCTCCAAAAGATTGCCGCTGGTACGTGCTGGCACGGACAAATGGGAGGCCTCTTTTGAAATCCCCGCAGTGGATATGGAGAAGTTCCTGATGTTCGTCTTCCATGACGGTGCCCCAACTGTTGATGGAACAACTGTGTGCACACTGTTGCTTGGCATTTCGTCTCCGAAGCCTCTGACAGTTCTGTTGTGAGCTGCATTGGCTGAGGTGCCGGCAACCGATGGATCAAGCACGGACCTCATGACTTCGAGTTCGAGATGCCCTTTCACGAGGACTGGGCCATCGAAGCGGAGCTGGAGGCGGAAGAGACGCCTATCCAGCTGTTCAGCCACCTGAACTCAAGGGAGCTCCGATCGGGTCTCCGCGCTGCTGCGGAGAGTGCGCAGAGGTTGAAGGCGAAGGGCATCGACGAGAGCGGTGTTGACAAGAAGAGGATCATCGAGGACTGGGACCGGGACCGTCGGGACCGGTCGCTGACGGCTCGCAGCCAGTTCCTGCAGCAAAGGCCCTCACGGCAGTCCCGAGCAGACATCTCCTTCTCTGCCTTCGAACTTCAGGGCGACGCTGGCTCTCTGGACGTTTCATGTATGTCCCTGGGCGATTCCCATGCGAAAATTGAGATCAGAGCCTGGCTTCATCCGCGCTTGGGTGATTGTGTGATGCATTTTGGTGTTTTCGAGACCTCTCAGTCTAGAGGATGGACATCGGCCACTGAGATCCACTCCGTCGAGTGGCCCTCGGACATGCGCAAGGTTGACAGCCAGGCATGCCAAATCCCCTTGAAGAGGATGGAAGATGGAATCCATGCTTTGGACCTTTCCTTGATCGCTCACGTTGAAAGTGACGGCAGCGAGACGCTTCGTGTGCCCGACATTGGGGGTTTGGGCTTCGTGTTGAAGCCGGTGACTAAGGATGCCTGGGTGAAACCGAACGACGGAGGTGATGCGGAAGTCCGCTTCTTGCGGCAGAAGCCATGGAGGCAATTTGGACCCGCTGAGAACATGGGTTCGGGCGGCGGGCCCTGGGCTTTTGTGGCTGAGAAGATCCTTTCGCAGGAGATGGGGAACCATATGTCTTTGAAGCGGAGATACGAGAATTGCCTTGAATTTTTAGAAGACTTCGAGAAATCTTCGGGCTCCCAGATGCGGAGGCTACAGTCTTGGAGGACTTTGATCCAGATCGACTCCAGCAAGGCCATGTGGTCCCGAACGCCCTCGATGCCACTCATCGACGGATCCTATGATGAAGAGGAGTTTTGGAGCTGGATCTTTGTTTGGCAGCGGCTCTCCTTCCAACAGTTCCTAACATGGGAGCGGAACATCAACACACAGCCTCGGCAGCTTGCAGCAGCGATCAACCAGCTCACACAACGCCTGGCAGAGCTTTGGAAGTCCACCCCAAGCTGTCGAATCTGGATTCGCTGGACGCTCTCCACTATGGGCCGCGGGGGATCGGCCGGGCAAAAGATTCGCGACGAGATCCTGGTCATCATGCACGCTCACCACATCAAGGAGATCCACGGAACCTATTACGAGCAGTGGCACCAGAAGCTTCACAACAACACCACCCCGGCTGACATCGGCATTTGCCGAGCAATCATCGCCTTCCTGAAGAGTGGCGGCGACATTGGGGTCTACTGGAAAGTGTTGGCCGAGCACAGCATCACCAAGGAACAGCTGGGATCCTACAGCCGTCCAATCACTACCGAGCCCTACATGGTCCAGACGGACATTGGCCGTTTGATCAGAGACTTCGAGAGGTACCTTGACATCC